CACAGCTAAACTTTGGTAAAGTGCAGCATGCAACTATATTTGGGGAAACAAACAAAATTGGCATGACCCATAGTTGTGTCAATGAGCAAACAACTTCCTAACTATTGAATGCATTATTATGATATGTCTGCAACTTATGTTTCACACATAAAGCAAAATTTATTGTAACGTTTCTTATTTTTACAGCATAATCAAGTTTCCAAAACATAAGTGGTTTAATATACGCTATCCAGCTTTAGAGAACATTCTTTAGACATTATATTAAGCATGAGAGTATATTTTGATATGTGATCACTACTACAGAATCGATTTTTAGGGGCGGCTCGTAACTCTTTGTAGGGGCGGTTTTACCGGCTGCCCTTACGAAAGGGTGGCTACAAATCACTGATTTATAGGGGCGGTTCCCAGACCGCCCTACAAATGAATTTGTAGGGGTGGCTGGTGTTATCAGCCGTCAGCCGCCCCTACAAATCGATTTCCAGAAATCACGAAAAAAGGGACAAAAAAATAGCAATTTTTTTTAATCTGAGAAGGACCCCATCGGCAACCACACACACCCACTCTATCGTTGCAGTATTTTTTCACGATTTTTAGGGTTTCGAATCCGTAACCTCTCGCTCGCGCGTTAACTCCTCTACCACTGCACCTCACGATCACTTGTGTCTACAATCCATTTTGGTTCCCCACATATTATACAAAATTGAGCATAAATTGATTATTTAGGCCCTAAACTAATTCAAATGAAAAAGTTGTCAGCTACAAAGTTTTATAACTTTTTGAGATCTACAACTTTCATTTTGGTAGTTTCTCCATCCGAGGTCACTTATAAAATTTGAATTCCAAATTTGAGAAATTCGAACGTAGTTTTTCATGACAAGATGATTTCAAATGAGAAAGTTATCAACTACAAAGTTTCATAACTTTTCAAGATCTACAACTTTTATTTTTACTGTTTGTCCATCCGAGGTCGTTTAAAAAATTCAAATTTCAAATTTTTAGAAATTCAAATGTAGTTTTCCTTGACAAGATGATTTCAAATTAAAAAGTTGTCAACTACAAAGTTTTATAACTTTTCGAGATCTACAACTTTCATTTTGGTTGTTTCTCCATCTGAGGTCGTTTACAAAATTTGAATTTTAGTGCTTAATTTTTAATACTCGGCATCTATCTGTACGGACACTTCAATATTGAGCCGTCCCTACAAATCCGATTTGTAGAAGCGGTTGGATATAGAGCCACTCCTATAAATCGGGCCATTTGTAGGGGCGGCTAATAACACCGGCCACCCCTACAAATCCATTTGTAAGGGCGACTTATTTGTCAACCATTTGCAGTGACGGCTTAATATAGAGTCGCCCCTACAAAGAAAGGAAGGCGTTGCCATAAATCATTTTTGTAGTAGTGGATCAAGCTGGGTAAACGACACAACAGGAACAAATTTTCTTTGATTGTGAAAACCAGGACAATCTATATGCTCATTATCTTAGGATCTTCCTACGATACTCTCAAATAACTGTGGGCCATCTATTTAATAAGATATGATGGTTCTGATCCCATATTATCTCGTAATATATGAAATATTAATTAATTTATTTTATAAAAGAGGATAATTTGAAAAAAAAATGTTTTAGATAAAAAAATCTTTCATTTTGATCTAATTATTGCATGAGATATGTTGGATTTAACAAAATCTGTTCGTTAATTTGGGAACTTTGGAACGTGACGGGACCTTTCCTGTGAAACGTGGCATATCATAACTACATGTGCGTGATAATAAACAAACGTGACACATATATGATTGTCCCTTCCGTTGTATTATGATGTACGTTTTTTGGTAAAGAAAGTACTCTGTTTTGATGTATATGTATTATGTCATGTGCTCATAGTCTTGTCATACGGCGGGGAAGCACTTCTCCTAGTGTGTGTCGCAACATCTACAACAATGTTTACTACCATCCATGTAGATAAAATCCATCGCACCTTGCAGCCATGAGTGGAACCTGTTATATGTTAAACACATATGACGTACACGTGTACCACATCAGGAACCAGAGCACGTATATGCACATCATGAAACCCTGCGTCTGTCTGATGATGTTGACGGATTTGCCACATTGCACAGCTGCCAAGAAATCATAGTCTTGCATGCACTGCCTCGTATCCGAGGAATTTTATGGGAATTTTTTCCTTTTCTGGGTTATTTTATTTATTTAATTATTAAAAAACAAAAATCAATGACTGAGATTTGTTCGAGCTATTATTTTCTAAGGAGTAACCGCAGTACCATAGCAAAGTTCTTAACTTAGCCTATTTGGATCACAGCTCGATTATTATAATCTAAATTATGTATAGAATTATTATAATCAGGATTGTGGGTTATAATAATTAGAGTGTTTGGGAATAAGTTACGATGATTGATTATGGTTGGTTAACATGAGAATTTCCTATCTTATCCTTTATAGTTTGGTATAAAGTTGGACAATCACATGGGAGTGACTTAGACTTTAATTTCAGCATTCATAATCCCTTATAACCTGGTCTCATATGGATTATGTGATTATGGTAATCAAGAGTTTTGATTATAATAATCTATATAATCAATCATGTTTTGATCAAAATTTGATTATATAATCTGACTATTATAATTAGAGGGGTATCCAAACAGGGCCTTAGTCACTACTAGTCCATCAACATCTCGCATAAGCTGGAATTTTAAGAGATATAAGTATTAGTTATTGTTTTATACATCTGACTAATAAAGAATCTTTTATATTAATTTTAAGTTTTTTCTCTTTTGTTTATTTTCTAAAACAATAGATATTCTATAGCCAATATCTAGTTATCATAAACTTATTAATTACTTCTTTGCAAGGGACATATCTATATGTTTTTTATCCATATTCAATTTTTTTGCATGGAGTCTATGTATATTTTAAATATGCAATTAGTTTGACACATTGCCATTAACTATGGTGGTCCTTGTTGCGTCATGTACCTTATAATGCAATGAATCTAAATTTTGAATTTTTAAATTTCATTATTATGGACTCCTACATACTTTTTTGCGCTCAAGTTGAAACTCTTATGCTTATTGTATCTTTTATTAATTCTTCTTTTTTTTCTCTTTATTTAAAATAAGAATTTTAGGCCGTAGAGTATATTCTTAAATACTACAATAGCATAAGAAATCATTTGAAACCTACACCATATCACTTAAGATAAGTGATAGAACTTAGAGGTGAGACCTCAAATGGGGTAGCAGTCTAACTCAAGATAATTTTAATAGTTAAGCCTTTTAATGCTCAACTTTTTATGCTAAAGTAATCTTAAAGAATAAGAAAAATATAGTCACTAGTGGTCTCCCACACTTCTCAAGATGATTGATTTTTTTCAACCAAAGATATATGTGCTGTTACGGTAATGTTAATATAAACATGTCAAACATTTTAGTTAAAATATATAGATATATCTGGAGCAACAACCTATATAAGTTATATGTCATTGTTAGTTGGTTACTAATATGGTTTTAAACAATTTATTAGTATCATTAATATATGAATTGTCAAGGAAAATTTTTATGTGATGAAACATAACATGTATATAAATCGCTCATGCACATTGGCACAAGGTGTATGTTTGCATTAATCAAATATTAATATGTGGGTAATGTAGAAACATATATATATGCTCTATGGTTATTTAAATATTTTTTGTAATAGAAGATGTTTATGATTTAGATATAGTTTCGATGAGATATTTATTTATTTTTGTAATAATTACAAGAAAATTGGGCTACGTAAATTATCTATCATAATAGGAGGACGTAAGTAATTATATGTAAATTTATGTCTACTTTTGATCATGTTTCTTAATGGCATGGGTGGTTTAAATATAGTCATAGGTTACTTTATATTGTTTTGCACAATAGGAGAGGTGGGTATTTATTTAGAAAATATAATGGATCCATAGCTACTACTATCAATTGTGATCAAACATTTTAGTAACAATATATAAACATATCTGAAGTAACAATCTATGTAAATTATATGTCATGGTTACTAATATGGTTTTAAACAATTTATTAGCACCGCTAATATATGAGTTATTACGAAAATACTTTATGTGATGAAACATAACATATATATTTATCACTCGTACATGATGGCACGATGCGTATATTTACTTTAATCAAATCTTAATATATTAATACTTATAGAACTGAGTAATATGGAAACATATATATTCTCTATGGTTATTTAAACAACTTTTTGTAATCGAAGATGTTGATGATTTAATGTAGTTTCGAGAGGCTATTTATTTTTCTAATAATGACATGAAAATTAGTTTACTTAAATTATCTATCGCAATAGGACGACATGGGTAATTAGATACAAATAAGTCTACTTTAGATCATGTTTTTTAAAGGCATGAGTGGATAGTTTAAATATAGGGTCATGGGTTACTTTATGTTGTTTTGTGCAGTAGGAGAGGTGGGTATTTATTTAGAAAATAGAATAGATCGTAGCTACTACTATCAATTGTGATTAGGTCAGATATTTCTAATTTTGTGTGAATTTATAGGATCTATTTTTTTGTTTTCCTACCAGGATTGGTGAGGATTAACACTGCACGGTGGCTCTATTGGGGCCCTCTAGTTAGAATTTCTAGTATTGCAATAGTCCAACAGTTATTATCGGTAATGACGATTAGAGTTCACCGAATTAAAGGCCAGATGTTTCTGATTATTGTGAGAATTTTTAGGACTTATCTTTTTTCTAGCATGTCTTGTGACAATTAACATGGTGCCTCTATTGGGGGCCCTATTTAGTAATAGTAAGAAGTAAGATATTATTTGAATGGTAGATTCATTCTGCTCATTAAGTAAATCTAATGTACATGCAAACCGCAAGCATTTCGCTACAACTTACCATTTCACTGATAATTTTTCCACTAATCATGTAATTGTACAGAAGGAGCGACATCCAAAAGACACGACTATAATGTCTTACTCAAAGCCTAGTGAGAGGACCAGTTGTTGTTCTCTCAGTCCTAGCAAGACCCAGGAGAGGTCGCATGCAAGGATGTTATCACAAACAACCCTTGATTCTGAACTTAATGCAGAATATGAAGAATCGGGTAATTCCTATGACTACTTCAAGTTGGTTAAAGCACAGCGGACCACCCAAAGTGAACCTAAACAACTAGGGCGTCCAGAGAAGGTCATAGCGTACTTGCAGCAGATTCAGAGAGCCAAGTTAATCCAACCGTTTGGTTGCTTGTTGGCCCTTGATGAGAAGAGCTTCAATATTATTGCATTCAGTGAGAATGCACCTGAAATGCTGATGGCAACTGTTGATGACGATGCTCCAAAGATAAAGATTGGCACCAATGTTCAGTCCATTTTCTCTGGCCATAGTGTCGCCGCCCTGCATAAGGCACTCAAATTTGATGATGTTTCATTGCTGAATCCTATTATAGTTCAATGCAAGACCCCAGGCAAGCAAATGTATGCCATTGTCCATAGGTCTATCGGTTCTCTGGTGGTAGATTTGGAGCCTGTGAAGCATACTGAATTCCCTTCCATTGCCATTGGGACTACACAGTCTTACAAGCATGCTACCAAGGCAATCTCTAAGATGCAGTCACTACCAGGAGGAAGCATGCAGATCCTATGCAATACTGTGGTTAAGGAAGTGTTTGACCTTACCGGTTATGATAGGGTCATGGCTTACAAGTTCCATGAAGATGACCATGGTGAGGTCATTGCGGAGATCACAAAACCTGGTCTTGAGCCTTATCTTGGTCTACACTATCCGGCCACTGATATTCCTCAAGCTGCCAGGGTTCTTTTCATGAAGAGCAAAGTACGGATAATTTGTAATTGTCGAGCAACTTCTGTGAAGATAATAGAAGCTAAAGGACTCCCCTTTGATATAAGTCTATCTGGCTCAACTCTTAGAGCTCCACACAATTGTCACCTTGAGTATATGGAGAACATGAACTCAATTGCATCACTTGTCATGGCTGTAGTAATAAATGAGAATAGAGAGGGTGATGATGTCAAGCCTGAAGAACCTCCAAAAGGACTCAAGAGTAGGAGACTATGGGGTCTCCTTGTTTGCCACCATGAGAGCCCTAGATATATCCCCTTTCCAGTGCGGTACGCTTGTGAGTTCCTGGCAGAAGTATTTGCTGTCCATGTGAACAATGAATTTCTATTGGAGAAGCAGATACGAGAGAAAAGCATCCTTGATGTACAGACAATGCTCTCTGCTATGTTGTTCCATGAAGCATCTCCCCTGAGCATCATATCTGGGAGTCCAAATATCATGGACCTTGTTAAATGTGATGGTGCTGCTCTTTTGCATGGTGACAAAGTGTGGCGGCTAGGCATGGCTCCAACGGAGCCTCAGATACATGATATCACCTCATGGCTATCAAAGGTTCATAGGGATTCCACCGGTTTCAGTACCGATAGCCTTGTTGATGCTGGATATTCAGGAGCAACTTCCCTTGGTGACAAGATTTGTGGAATGGCAATGGCTAAGATTGCCCCAAATGATATTGTTTTCTGGTTTAGGTCACATACAGCTGCTGATATCAAATGGGGTGGTGCAAAGCATGATCCATTTGACCAGGATGACAACAGAAGAATGCACCCTAGGTTGTCCTTCATGGCATTCCTCGAGGTTGTCAAGATGAAATGCCTGCCATGGAATGACTATGAGATGGATGCTATTTGCTCATTGCAGCTCATACTTGGAGATAGGATGAATGGTGCAACAAAACCAACTGGAGCAGCTGGTTTCGATAACCTACAGATTCATGATATCAAGCTTGATTGTCTTGATAAATTGCATATGGTTACAAGTGAAATGGTTCATCTAGCGGAAGCAACAAGTGCTCCAATTTTGGGTGTAGATGTTAACGAATTGCTCAATCAGCAGAACCGGAACAATGCTATCAAGCTAGCCAAGGATTCTTGTTTGGATAGCCAGGATGGTGGTCATCAGTATCACAAGCTAGATGGGCTTGCTGAATTGCAGACAATGACAAAAGAAATGTCTTGTCTAATGGAAACAGCATCTGTTCCAATATTTGCAGTTGATGCAAATGGGTTGGTCAATGGATGGAACCTTAAGTTAGTGGAGCTGACAGGATTGACAGTGCAGGAGACTATAGGAAGGAACATACTTACCCTGGTAGAGCAATCGTCTTTCCAAGTTGTACAGAAAATGCTATACTTGGCTCTGGAAGGTGTGTAGATTTTTTTCTCTCTAGTTATTTCAGTCTATTTACTATTCAGCTATTTTTAGTTTTATGCTTATTCAGCTATTTTAACTGCTACATTTGATCTTCGTGATTATGCATGCCTTAATTATTTGATCCCATAGAAAAAATATATACTTGATAATTAGTGGGTTTCAACATTTGCTTTATATAAACATTTCACTGATATATATAATAGGCAAAGAAGGGAACGATGTTCGATTTGAAGTGAAAACCCACAGTTCAAGGGTAGATGATGGGCCGATTATCTTAGTTGCAAATGCTTGTTCCAGACGTGACATTTCTGGCCATGTAATTGGGGTGTTCTTTGTGGCCCAAAATATGACTGTTCATAAGTTGGCCATGGACAAATTTACTCGAGTTGACGGAGACTACAAGGCAATCATTCACAACCCGAACCCACTCATTCCTCCTATATTTGGTGCTGACCAGTTTGGGTGGTGCTCCGAGTGGAATGCCGCCATGACTAAGCTTACTGGGTTCCATAGAGATGAGGTGCTCGATAAGATGCTTGTTGGTGAAGTCTTTGACAGTAGCAATGGCTCCTGTCTTTTGAAGAACCATGATTCAGTTGTACGCCTTTGCGTCATTATCAACAGTGCACTGGCTGGTGAACAAACAGATAAGGCTACATTTGGCTTCTACAACCGAAATGGGAAGTACATTGAATGTATTTTGTCAGCTTATGGAAAAGAAAACACAGATGGCATCATTGATGGAGTATTCTGCTTCATACATGTTCCTAGCCAGGAGCTGCAACATGCACTGCATGTGAAGCAAGCCTCGGAGCAGACGACCTTAAGACGGATGAAGGCTTTCTCCTACATGAGATATGCCATCAACAATCCTCTCTCAGGTTTGTTTCACACCACAGAAGCATTGAAGAGCACAGGTTTGAATGAAGAGCAGATGAGACACCCCAATGTTGCAGATCGTTGTCGCCGCCAGCTGGACAAGATACTTGCTGACATTGATCATGATAACATAACTGAGGAGTATGTATACATACTTATTCATACTTATTTCCAACTCTTCTTATGTTTCTATTTCTATCTATTATATAGGTTCTAGTATCAATTTGTAGCCTCATTTGTTGTTTCTCAGCCCTTAGACCTAGTAAATTGATGGTACTACTCACTCTTATATTTATTTTCCATAGGTCATTTTGCTTTGAGCTGGAGATGGTTGAATTTGTATTGCAAGATGTGGTAGATGGTGCTGTAAGTCAAGTATTGATAGCTTGCCAGGACAAAGACATTGGAGTCCATGTAAACCAGTCAGAGGGATTTATGAAGGAAAAACTTTATGGTGATGGAATTCGACTCCAACAGATTCTCTCTGACATTCTATTTGTTTCAGTGAAGTTCTCTACAGTTGGGGGCTCTGTTGAGATTTCCTGCAACCTGACCAAGAACAGCATTGGCAAAAGCCTTGACCTAGAACTTAGGTGAACTTATCCACAAATTTTGCCTTCTTGTTACATTGTTTCTGTATAAGAGAGTAAGAGTCCAAATGCTTAATCATATTACTTTTTTGTGTTTACGGTTTTGTAGGATCAAACACAAGGGATTAGGTGTCCCTGGGGAAATCTTGTCAGGAACTTACAAGGATGACATCAAAGATATGTCAGGGGAGGGTTTAAGCCTCGTAGTTTCAAGATACCTTTTGAAGCTTATGAATGGCGACATTCATTATGTAAGGAAAGTTGGCACGTCAACTTTCATCCTCACGGCTGAACTTGCTTCTGCTCGTGCAGTCATTGGACAATGAAGCTGGTGTAACAAGACGCTATATCAAATGGTATGTGACATGTTTTCTCTTCGTTATGATTGCATAGAAGAAGCCATTGCACATGCAAAACTAAACCTTCACTAGTCATTGCCACACCTCCGTGAATCTATATGCATTGCTTGCTTACATGATTATATTTTAACATTGAAAGGCCTACATATTTGTAAAATCTAGGCATAAGAATAACGAACCTCCATGAGCTACTGGTTATTAGATCTTCTTACATTTCTTGATTTCTGCTCTATTCCTCGAAGAAGGGATAATGCTTGCAAGTTTAGCCTTGAATGGACAAATGACCAAAACCAAATTTGTAGGACTCAATGATATTTACAGCTTCGTAGTGGATACCTTATTCATTTAAAATCATTTAGGGGATCAAATAATCATTTCAAAATCAGGTAAAGTGAATATGAGGAGAATATTTGTGCCCTTTAATCACAAGTGACTTTTGTAGTGGAGTGGTTAGGCAGCTATGCGTGAGACCTGAGGTCACGGTTAGAACCCCCACGGCCGCACATGCATGAAAAAATCATTTGTGATTATGCAAATCCAATGATTACTGTTGTAAGAACATAATCATACATACACAAAACCTTTCATTACATTGTTTTCTAGCAAAACATTACTGGGTCTAATCCTCAATTCCTTCGGTTCATGTAGGCTGGTTGTTGCTATGAGCTTGTTTCATTTGATTTGTATGGAAACGATAGTGACTTCGATGTCTGGAGGATGGAATTTGAAGCAGCCAATAGGGACTGACTTGGGGAAAAGGAGTACTTGTACGGTTGTTTGTCACAAAAGGTTTGTGTACTAGTACTATTATAAAATTCAAAAAGCTTATTGTACTATACAAAAGGTTTGTCGCAAAAGGTTTGAAAAATTGTATAAGATTTGGTTGTGTAATACTATAATCAGTTGGGGCTCCTTGCACCTCCTGATTCTAAAAAAAAGATTTGGTTGTGTAATCTTCTTGTATTCCAAAAAGGGTGACGTCTATGCAGTATACATCCATTCACGTTTGTGTTACATCCAAAATATCAGATTAGCTTGGTCTCCCTCGTTCATTTGCTCCATTTAATTTTTCACACGTCATAATTAACACCCTATTGAAGGGAACGGGTATGCTATGCTACAACAGATAAATCTAGTGTGTTCAACTAAGATATGATGCGAGTAGGAGACTATAGATTCTTACCACAAGACAAGCTACATAGTGGAAGAAGAGTTGGAACAACTTGGTCCAACGTCATGTGTCGATGAAGTGGAAGTAGACGTTCAACTTCGCTTCCTTGCAGCAGTCTCACGTGCGGCTATTTCATGCGACCACCTCATTTTCATCGCTAATCAAGACATGGATCAGTATCCTATTTTGACCCACATATGGATCTAATCCATAGTGTGTATGATTGTCTCTTGTAGACATCACAAACAATCTCCCACTTGTATAAAGTCAATCATCATGCAAATATTCCAACCCCCTGAAGTGTGTGGCCTATTAGGTTTATGTATAGATAGCCATGACCAAAACCATTTGTGAGCCATCAGTCAATTGTGACACCTAGCAAGCATATTGAATCTTGCCTACATAGAAAGATCATATCCGCTAAACCTTAATATACACACTTCTTGATCCTTTGCCACACAATACCAATCAAAATCAAGTTGAGTTTTGTGCCAGCCTAGTGATACCTCAACGATTCACTAGATCTTGTAGTGGATGACAACTCATGACTAATCCTTTACTCACATCATAATTAGCTCTTTAAATCATATTGGCATAGGAACCATGTAGAGGTAATTTTGTTGCTGTCAAGTAATGAAATTCGACTTTGCCATGGTGGAAAAAGGAACCATATAGAGGGGCAGATATCTCTCATTTTATGTAGGAGGGGCAAATTCCATTTGATCCACTCATTTCCCATTCTATGTTTTATGGTGCATCCAAATACTGCTTTTGTAACTACCCAGTTACAGAGTTGCATTTGGCAGCCCAAAAATGCAACCCTACACACAATGAGAAACAATGAAAATCTTAGGTCTAAGGATCAAGCAGGTATGGCATTTGATGAGAGCACTGGATGACACATATTAGCATAACAATCCCAGCCACATCTCAGTGTGAATCAATACAACACCATAATCTCTATGACATGTCCATACTATTGATTTTATACCGCTATATCTATGATCTATCAAATATGATAATCAAAGAATGCATTTTTATTATAAAATCACTATTTTTTATACAATACTACTACAAATTGACTTATCACTATCACCACTTTCACTACCGTGGCAATAGAAGCGACTGTGTTTTACTTCCACCACCGGTTGGACTAGTAGCGAGGCCTCCTGATGAAGGAAACCAGTAGTTGAGACTTCTACCATCGATGGGTTAACAATAGATGCGGCAGTGGTATTTTCTCCGTCGCATGAAAAGTCGAGCCGACTAGATAGGCATTCTAGTCACGGGCCCTACACGACCGTTTGGTCTACCAGCTGTAGTAAATTGAGCTAGTTTTTTCCCAACTACCCACAACACAGTTGCATCACCATTCCATTTCTCCATCTTTAAGGTTGGCGCATTGTTCCTCTCTCCCAGTTTATGTGAACCATTGCACACCTCGCACAGTGCCACCGCCACCTCCCGCATGGTTGGAGCATTGTTCCTCTCGCAATTTGTGTAAACCATTGCACGCCTCGCGCCACACCGCCGTTAGATCCAAAGGCAAGGGTAATGCTTTTGCACTACACTGATGGATCTTTGTTGGATTATTTTCCTCTTTAGTGATCTCATTACTAAGAAAGCTCTCATCCTACTGCACAATGATGATCGCAGGCTCTTTGAAATGGAGGTGGCCCCCAACAATAGGAATGCACTGGCCAGCCTCACAGAGGATGTTGTTCTAGAGATCCTCTGCCGCCTCCCCGCCCGCTCCTTGTTGTGCTGCAAATGTGTTTGTCGCTCCTAGAACAGCCTCATCTCCAGCAACCATAAGGTGCTACCCCAGACTATGGCCGGCTTCTTCTATAATGGCGAGAAAGATGAACGAAACTTCACCATTGTCATAGATGAACGCCCTGACTTGTCCTTCTTGCCCTTCCCCATTGACAAAGTAGTTGTCTTAGATTGCTACAATGGCCTCATCCTATGCTTGTGCATTGAGACTCTACTGGATCCTGCTATGTCGTCTGGAATCTGGCAACCAAGAATTTGTGGGTACTACCGCCTAGCATCCATACTGTTGGTTAGGCTCGACTGGGGTTCGATCCAACAGCCTTCTCGCACTTCCATGTGATTGAATTTATGGAGGAGGATGTTGAGTGCCTAGGTGTGAAGATCTACTCATCTCAAATTGCATCATGGATCTAGCAGGAATCTGAATGGGGCTAGAACATTGATGATGTGATATGTTCAAGATCAGCAAGTGTGTTTCTTAACGGTTGTCTGCACATTATGGGGTACTCTCTGATACTTGTTGTGGATTTGGAGAGAAAGATATGGAGCAAAATTCCTAGGCCTCGTGGTACTCTACCTGTGGGGTTATGGCCCCCGGTACCCACAAGACAAGACATGGGCCGCGCTCCAAAGGTAGCCCAACCCACAAGATCAAGGCGTGCACCGCAAGACTATATGAAGATGTGATTTATTGTATAATACTATTGAAAGCTCTAGTTTGGTTTTGGTGAATTGATGAAACCCTAAGTGCTAACCTAGTTTATCAAAGTGATTATGAGATAGGTAGCACTACTCCAAGTGGTGAAGCAAATAAAGATCATGACATGATAATGGTGATGCCATGGTGATGATCAAGTGCTTGGACTTGGAAAAGATGAAAGAGAAAAATAAAAAGCTCAAGGCAAAGGTGAAATTGATAGGAGCTTTTTAGTTTAAGTGATCGAGACACTTAGCGAGTGTGATCACATTTAGAATTGATAGCCGTACTATTAAGAGGGGTGAAACTCGTATCGAAATGCGGTTATCAAAGTGCCACTAAATGCTCTAACTTATTGCATATGCATTTAGGATCTAGTGGAGTGCTAACACCCTTGAAAACATTTGTGAAAATATACTAACACATGTGAACAAGGTGATACACTTGGTGGTTGGCACATTTGAGCAAGGGTAAAGAAGATAGAGTTGAAAAAGAGTTAGTCGCGCTGGTTACAGAGTGACCGGACGCGTCTGATATTTAGACCCATGGTGAGCGACTAAGTGAAAGTGATCGGACTCTAGCTCAGTGGAGTGACCGGACGTTGATGGGTTACTATTTAGCGTTAGGTCAAAGTGATACAGGTCTATAGAGAGCGACCGGACGCGTCCGGTCGCCATCCGGTATGAACTAGGAAGTCTCGGGTTTCTGTGCTATAATTGATCGGACTTTGGGAGCGTTCGGTTCTAGTGTGACCGGACACGTCCGGTTGGCCCAGAGCGACTCTAGGAGCTCTCTGGACTCGATCGAATGCTGCGCCTCCTGCGTCCGGTCCAGTGTGACCGGACGCATCCGATCGGGCCAGAGCGGCTCTGGGAACTCTCTGGACTCGACTGGGCGCTGCGTCTCCTACGTCCGGTCATCCATCCTAGATGCGTCCGGTCGCAGGTGAGCATGGGACTCGTGGTAGCAATGGCTACTTCATTTGAATGGGACACATGGCGATCGAGCTATGACTGGATGCAGCAACTGGACACGTCTAGTTGTCCCACAGTTAGCCCAATAATTGAGCCAACGACTCTATTATTTGGGGGTGTCTATAAATATCATTTGGCTGGCTCTAGCTCATGGTCTTGCCATTTGCATTGACATAGAAACCTTGTGAGCTTAGCCAAAGCCCTCCTAGTCATCTCCATCATTGATTCATCATCTTTGTGAGATTGGGAGTGAATCCAAGTGCATTGCTTGAGTGTTTGCATCTAGAGGCACTTGGTGTTCGTGTTTCACTATGGGATTCGCTTGTTACTCTTGGTGGTTGCTACCACC